TTCGCTGAACGAACACTGAACGAAGATATACTTCTCACAGCATATGTTTTTGCCTGGCTACTTGAAGAGTAGAGTAGAGCAATTTTATTCAGGATATCTTCCGCGGTTATTGACAACAGGCGGTAATAAGACGACGTCAAGATGAGAAATCCTACACCCAAAAATCACTCGGCCGTGATAGGTCAAACTCTTGGGCTTAGGCGGTCATCGCCCCTAGGATTTCGCGCAGCCATTTTTTTCTCGCGGTTTTCTTTCGCGTCACGCACGATGGACTCAGTGTGGACTAAGCGAAAGAGGGACTACTCGTAGTCTAGCTGTTTGCTTGCAGTCTAGCATTTATTTACTGCTGTTTGCTTGCGGTTAGCATTTATTTGCTGCTGTTTGCTTGTGGTTAGCATTTAAGGGGTGAAGGGGAAGGCGCCTACCACGAATTATATGCAAGCGAAAAAAACAGTGTACCATCACACATACCCTGTCGCGCAGGTTCGCCCCCAGATCTTTTCCCTCCTCGAAGAGTGAGAATTATTGGGTACAAACTTATCAATGTTTATACGAAACCAAGATGGCTGCCGTGGGCTTCCGTGAGAAGAGGAAGTTGGCACAAAAAGCCGACATTTTTGTTAAATTTGAGGCAAAGGAGCGATATAATAGCATTAGACAGATTTTGAAAAAGGATCCTTCATTAAGAAATGACGAAGAGCTGCAAATGATGGCTAATTCGCAAGAAATAGTCCAAGAAATAGAGAAGCGATCTTTGCGACAAGAACTAGCTAAGCGCCGAGTTGAAGAGGTATGTCGTGAAGCTGTTTCAATTTTCTGTTTATTTTACATTTTTAAGGGTGTTATTTATAACCCCTTCATTTCTTGGGATATAGGTGCTTGATCCGCCTGATGTGTTGGATGAAAAGACAACTGAACTGGCTCAAGCAATAGTGAAGGCCAAATGCCTGGTTGTTTACACTGGTGCTGGAGTTAGCACGGTAAGATAAACTAATCAGTGCGGGCGTGAAGCAACCCTGTGAGTAAGTTCATCTATTCCTCTTTAATTTCCATTGTGCAAGACTTAATTATAATGTGTCCTTTTTCTTCCAGGCGGCCTCGATTCCTGACTATAGGTTAGTTGACCTTGTATATATTAAAAATTTATAGTGATACCGCAGCCTCCGTTGATATAAGCGTAGGTTTACAAAATAGTATGTTTTCTTTTCATTAACATGTCAAATAGACTGAGTCTTGTGTAACATTTGTAGAGGCCCTGATGGAGTGTGGACTCGCCTGTCTCGAGGAGAAAAACTAGGGTAAAACACTTTTTAACTGTTTTTTTTGTGTGTGTGCTAGTAGAGTATTATTAATTAATTATCAGAGCAGCAGGTTCCCGGTTAAACTCTGTTAATTGCTTAAGCTTCTTAGGTGAAGCTTTTGACAGTTAACTTCAAGGCTATGATACACTGGATGTGTTGTAGCTTTGTGGTGTAGTGTTTTCAGGGTACTGATGTGATAAAGCAGTATATACATGCATAATAAAGCTATACCTGATAGCTTTTTCTGATCAGAGAACCAGCCCAGAATGCAAATTCCCCAGCAAGTAGAAAAAAAATGCAAATTAAATACATTCACAAGAAGTCAGCTCAGCTCTTTTCACTGTAGAACCAGCTATGGCCAGTTTCTCAAAATAAGTTACCTCCAAAAAGTTGTTATCTGCCAGCAGATCAGTAACTTCCAACAGTATCAAAACTTAAACAGCATAATCAATTGGACCTCAGAAAAGGAAACTCACATGAATTTCAACCTGTTACCATGAACAAGCATTGGTGTCTCACCTAGCACAACTTGTAGAAGGACATTTAATGTGTCTATTATACCCAATGTTACTAATCAAACTGTTTGGTAATCGAATTTAATGGAACCAAAAGAAAATTGTGTGAGAGATTTGGATTGCGTTCAATTTCCAAACTAATAGCATCCAATCGAACTCAATCGAACACAGTTGAAAAAATTGAAAATTTCACCTAAATACCTCTTGATCAGTCTGTCATAGTAACAGCCACAAATTAATAATTAACTAGAACAATGAATTACCACAAGCAACTGTCAATTTTAATAGTAATATATTTTTATTGAAATAACCTTTGAGCATGGAAAACACATAACAGGTTTTACAAATGAAAGAACAAACTGACCATAAAATGGACAGTAGACAGTTAGTCTTACTTCACAGTAGTTCAATTCCATTTCATGATTCGTTTCTATCAGCCTAGGGAGTCTTTCATAACCCAAGTACCCTACATAGCTGGCAGTCTTGTTGGGGAGTGCACATGCCAGCTTACAGTAAAATGGACAAACTGACTGTAAAATGGACAAATTCAAAAAAATCAGTAAAGTTCAACAGACAGTAGACAGTTAGTCGTACTTCACTATAGTTCCATTCCATTTCATGATTCATTTCTATCAGCCTAGGGAGTCTTTCATAACCCAAGTACCCTACATAGCTGGCAATCTTGTTGGGGAGCGCATATGTGAGCTTACAGCAAAGAGTGATTTCTTCCCATTCCCCCACGACTTTGTCCTTGGTTTTAGGTGACTGTTGTTTTTCAATCACCATGCCATCCAGTTTCAAATCGGACACGATCTAACTTGATTGAACTCAACTGAACTACATGTATATGAACTCAATCAAACCCAATCAATAGTAAAAAAAAATTGTCATTTTATTTTCTTAAACTTATGCTACAAGTTTTAAGGTTTGCAGTAGCTTTTTCTCCCTGTCAAATTTAACTTGTGGGAAAGTTTTTCCCACAAGCTTTGGTACATGTTTGTTAGTTAGGGGCCCTGCTTCAGTAGTCATCAGACCCTCTCTAGAGTTTCAGAACTTGTACCATGCCTGATGATAAGTGAATGAAACCTCAGACAAGTGCTAATTGAGGACACCCACCATTATTGTGAAGTAATGTATCAGACACAAGAGACAGTGTTTCATCGGGACATCCAAACAGGGAGAAGAGGGTTGAAAATACAACCCGCAGTGGAGTATTATTTTTTGATGAAATACTAGGTGTTTGGATAGCTGATGAAACAGTCTCAAGTGTTTGATATATCTTCTCAATTGAAACAAAAACTAAGGAGTAAACGAAGAATTAAAATCGTCAAAATCTATGTTAATTAAGACCGGGTATCCAAACCTCCTTCACGTTCATGATTTTCTTTGTTTTAACTTGATGAATTAGTGAATGTGACACTACAACAGGAGAAAGAATAAATGAGGTATTGATCAGTTTTTGTTTCTTTTCTCAGTTCATATAATTTGGCTGATGCTGATCCAACTTTAACTCACATGAGCATCACAAAGCTTTATCAGGAAAGACTGGTGAGTACTCTCCCTTGATTATGTACATTTGTGTAGTTAGAAGGTTTTCTCCAATCTACCTTGATTACTTTACCGTGTGTAAACATATTGTCTGCTGTATCTAATTGCGTGGTGCTTTGAACAGGCAAGTGGAACCCACAGATAAGTTGTCTTCTTTAATGTTCCTCTGCTATATTTTTCTTACACTAGTTTTCACAGGCGTTTTCACTAAATAAACTATTAAGCAAAAACGTCATCTCCTTGGAAGATGGTGCTTTAAAAAAGCATCTCCAGGATTCCTTTATAAAAGAGGCTAATGTACGGCAGTTTTTAATCGTCTTAAGATAAGTTTTTGTTTTTGTTTATTTTTTTTGTTTGTTTCTTTCATTATCATTGTCAGGTCAAGCATGTTGTGTCACAGAATTGTGATGGACTTCATGTCAGAAGTGGTCTTCCACCAGAGGCATTGTCAGAGGTCCATGGGAACATGTTTGTTGAGGTGCAGCAGTAGTAGCCAATGCTTATGATACTGCAAATAACTCCAGTACTAATAGCAACAAGTTACAACAAAGTGTAGATACTTACTTATTAAATAAATGTTAATATCAGAAATAATAGTAACCTGGAATAACCACCTTAAGTATACATTCTACACAAGTGAAGAGTGCTTTTCACACATTCTGATTGGTTATTTCAGAGGTGATTAACAAAGTACTATTCACCTTCAAGCTGGGATTTTTTAATTTCCCACCATTTGTCAGTTTCTTTTTTTGTCCACTAGTATATCCTAAAAGCAAATTTATTCACCTCAGTGTTTGTAAAAGTGGTGTGGATATTTACCTCGCCACTTCATGGCTTCATTAAATATCCACCACTATTCACTTCCACTTCTGTGTTTAATCAAAACTATAACAAAATTCTCGAACATGATT